TTTATTTATTCCAAATTAAAAGAACAAGTTTATAGATTAAGGTTTGCTGATTTAATTTATAATAAAATATATTGTCTTTTATAAAACAATTTATTAACAATTATAAAATCAAAATAAGTAACATCTTTTATTTTTTTAAACATAATTTTATACTCTTTCTAATTGTGATTAAAATGAAAAAAGCTTGGCAATTTATAATATAAAAACAAAAAAATTTGTACACATTAAATTTTAATTTATCTCAATAATTATTTTGTAAAAACCCATTTTAATTTGTAATTTCTTTTAATTTTTTGTGAATTAATGCTGTAAAGACAATGTTAGCCAAATAATACACGCCTAAAAGTGCTAAACTTACTATTTAGTTTGTATATAAACTGCTCCAATTCTCAACTACTAAAGAATCAAGGGATAGGCAATTAGCTCCAGTTCCAAAATCATAAGTTTTAAAAGATTTTATTATAAATATTATACTTAATTACTTAACTACTTCATCAGTTGAATAGCCATTAATTTCTAATTTTGAGCAACTAGAAATAGCGTCATCTAAATTTGTCTTTATATCATAATCATCATATGGATAATTATGCTGAATATAATATCCTTATAATAAAATAATTAATTAATTATTTTTTTAATAAATTTAAAAATGTTTTACCACAAAACTGTTGCATATTAGTAATAATAATATTTCCTACTATTATTCCTCCAATACCACCTATAGATATCATCAGCAATATAATTATAGCTATTCTTTACCATCTTTAATTTCTGGTATAAAACCATATTAAAGAATTGATTAAAGCTACTACAATTATCAGAGAACTTAAGATTATAATAGCAGTTTGTATGCCTGTTTAAATCTGTAAATCTGATATATGTTTTGACGAAACAATTGCAAGTATACAGCCTGCTAAAGCTATAACTATATTTAAACAATTAAATATCAATAATTTTTATTATTTTTAACAAAATTCTATTAAATTTGATTCATTTTGTTTTAGCTGTTGTTTTAATAAA